AATGACCATAAGTTAACTTAATTATTTAATGCCAGACGCCCAAACGAGACTATTTTATGATGGCATAAAGTAGGTTTGTTGTCCACATGAAACCATGCAAAAAAGTTCTCCACACCATCTGCAAATAACACAATTTCACAGCTTTGCAGACATATATATTGCCATCCTAATTTTCCCAGGCATCACGGTTCAGTCGACCATTGAAGCCGCTAAAACCCGGCGGCAAGTCGATATTTACTAAGCCAAAGAAATTCCCCTGCAAGGGGTCGGGCCCATTTTGCTGCCTAGGTAGAAGATTCGCGCCCGGGGGTAGCTTCGCCATTTCCAAAGATATCGGTCAAGTCGAGCTGGGACAGTTGTGGTCCCAAAGATTCGATCCAACTGATAGTTATAACAATTGTTACAAAGCACACTGAGATTCCATCCAACTGAAATTGCAACAACGTCGAAATCAATTTAATTTATCAACTTCCTACCGGAAAGGAAAGGCATATAATGTATATTAATATCTCCAAATCATTTAAGACTCAAGTTTGAGAGAACTAGCTAGTTAGGCAAAACTAAACAAGAAAAAATATATTCTCAGATAGTCGGAATTGATCCCCAGTCCGTAATTGAGAACTTAATGATGTCTCTTATTTATATCACTCAATATCATTCTCATCACTGGGACGTGAGGCCATTTAAGTCGAGTATGAGAAGAGGCAAAACTAAACTAGAAAAAAATATATTTTCACGAAATAGAATCGAAATTGATCCCAATCCGTAATTGAGATTCAACCAACATTTATTTTTACTGGAATACTAGATTACTGATTACAGATGACATGCAACACAACAAGAGATAGAGATGCAAGAGTTCATGGTCAAATGATAAAGGGGTCCACCAAGATGCCTTCGATTTCTGGTGCCATAGTGTAGCATTTGGCATACCCATCCCTGCCATTCCTGTAGAAGATTTCGGCTGCTCGTGCGTAACCAATAAGCTCCTCTGCCACATCCTTTGGCACCCCACTAACTCTCACATTTGTTATCCATTCACCATTAAAACGCGTCCAAGCATCCTCGGCTAGCTCCACAAACTTATCCTTGGCTTCATTCATCGATCCACCATGATCTTTCACGTAGAAATCCAACCCTGTCAGGAGTGCTCCTTCCTGGCTCTCACGCTTGATGAAAACAAGAAATATTAATTAGTTAATATTCTATTCACATCTACCTGATATATATAGTCACTACTTATTTTGTGAAAAGATAAAAAATAAAAACATTAATATTGCTTACTTCATAGCTTCCTATGTCGTCCAAGTACCGGCATACCTCTGCCAAAGGCCTAATAATTTTGGGCTCACTCTTAAACCAATTTATGGTTTCTTCACATACAGACTTCAAGCCCGCGAACGTAGCAGCACAAGCCACGTAGATGACACTTGTGATAACGGTCATCTGAATGTAGTCTTCGAATGAAGGCACTTCTCCTCCCATAGTGTACTTGAGCCCTTTATTGTAGGCACTACATATATCTATCATCTGGTTCCAATATGCAACAAATGATTATTATTATTATTATTATTATTATTATTATTATTATTGTTATTATTATTATTATTATTTGTATCTGTATGATTCTTACAGTTTGTTTTGCATAAGGAACTGTAAACAGTTTCCCTCCTTGGGCTGCATCACGTTCGTACTCGTCATACA